TGAGATAATGTTTACACTTCTGACGAATAACATGCAAATATGATGACCTTATGCTCATCCTCTGTCCGTCTTGTCCCCTCTTTATTTTTAATACGAAAAGATAGTTTTTTTTTTGAATTTTTTTGAAAAAAATACGAAGACTATAGTTGAGTTGAGTTGATACGAAAAGATAGTTGAGTTGTGTATAGAGATAATTCATGTCTTGTGGTTAAATTTCGTTTCCAAAACTATATTGTACGTCTTGTGCAGTATTTTAAAAGAAGCATTAGTAGCAACTAGCAAGTAGCAAGTGGTTACAAAAAAACATTAGCTAGTGATACGAGCCGAATCCGATCAATGAGCTAATCAAATTATCAATAATAAAATAAGTAGCCGGAGTATAAAACAACAGTGCTTATTAAATTATAGTATATTGCATTAAAGTTCAGTTACGTTGACATTTTTTTTTTTACGTTGACATATTGTGATGGATTAAACGGAATAAACCTTAGAGATATGATATTTTACCTAAAAAAAAAATTGATTCAACATATATTGTATAAAAGTTACGTGCATATAACAATTGTGATTGTGGTCTCAATTAGACTGAATTCGAAGCATAGTACACGCAAGTTTTTCTTTTGGTTTCTTCCTTTGCACGTCAAGTCAACAGTTCGATGATTAGCTAGCGAGAAGATGATGTAGAGTGGGCTTTTCTGTTTTGATTGTGAAAATTATGGGCCGTGGGGCCTAGTCTCTATAGAATGCGACAACAACCACTTGGGGTAAAATGTTTTGGCACAGAGAATGTGTCGGGGACTGGGGGCATAAGACAGTAACATGTACGGTGTCGTATAGGGCTATAGCCATTAGAACTGCTGCGGTGCGTCGGATCGGTCCTGGATGAGCCGGTATGTCCGTGCTGAAAACGAGCCCTACCGGCTGCCGCGGGGGATTGGGGAACCACAACAATTTCTAGAAGCCATTATGGATTTATGAAAGTTAATTGGGCCGTGAAGTGTAAAACTCAAACCCATTTATGAAAGTTTAGATCCATTATGGATGAAGCAAATGACGCCATGTGCAAGTGTGTTCGATCTTAGCAATATTGTGTGCTTCTATTCTTTCGAACTCAAACGTATTTGATTAACTAATGTAAGACTTCAGAACATACCATAGGTTTCTCCTTCTCCACAATTGGTGTAGTCAATTAGGGGTACTACAATCTAAAATTGCATAGTACAAAGCAAAATAATTAGCTTTTTTTTTTTNTTTTTGCTAAAATCAAAATAATTTGCGTTACTGTCTTCCTTGAAACTTTTATCTTAGTTTTAACACCCTTCTTCTCCTCTCAAACATCCCACTTGTATAGTTCTTCAACCTTGGCCAAGCATCCGGTTCCTTTTAAAGCTTCTATTTGGTTTTGGGAGTAGTTTTCCAACGAGATTTTTTTTTTATAACTAGCACTTATCCGAAAATTTTACTATCCGATTAATATTTCAAGGTGTGTGTAGTCATCGAATATCTCATTCCTGAAAATTTTAATGAGTTTTAAGACATGAAGACTAATCAAATAGGATTGGTTGGATAATTTTCGGTTGAAGAGAATTGATCTATAGTCTAGACTTACATGATAATTCCTCGCTAACTGAAAACCATTAACCCACTATCCCTTAGTTAATTAACATTTTCCATCCCCAAGTATCCAAACATGCCATCGCCCAGTTGCCTTTAAACCATGGCTTCCTTTATCTTGTTTAATTGGGATCTAACTGACTTAGAAAGAAAAA